GAAGGCGTTGCTATTAGGTCTCGTCCTTTGAACAATACGCTTCTGAGGACTAGGCGGAAGAGGCTTCAGAGTAATTGGATCTGGAAGCTGCGCCATTATGAGGGAACGGCAAATTGATCATGCGGGGGTTGTCCAACATACCTTATCCAAGAAATGCTCCTTGGTATGCGCTTGCGCGAAGCTTCCGCCGACCTTGCATGCGCAGGGTTTTATTCAAATTTGTAGTCGTGGGAACTGACAGTGTTACACACAAACAAGATACTTTTCGTCCTTGCGACAACCCGGCATGCGCTTGCGCGCACCTTGCGCGCGCGGGGGTTTTGGGCACGTTGTCATCATCTTGTTTAGCGGTGTGCAAGAAGAAAGCGTGGATTTCAGGACGACCCTCATGTGAAGAGAAGGGATGCTAAAATCAATAGACCTCGTAACCTCTCTCTCTCTCTCTCTACATACTTTCCTTTCTAAACCCCGTTAAAAATGTCCCTAAATTTGGGAAACCCTAAACCAATATATCCCCTTCATTGCGGGGCAGGGGGCCGTCGCGCCGTCCAAGGAGAAGGAGAACGAACCAGAAATCACAGCCACCAGCACCACCTGCACAAGTGAGCTTGTCCCTTTCCGGGTTGGTGCTTATAAACAGGCTCCCATGGCTTGCAGGCACGTCAGTTGTACTAGATGTTGAAAGCTTTGGAGCTTTTTCTTGGGCCATACCCCCAGGGATCCAAGTATACAAATACCTACATTGGACCCTACAAAGTCTGGAATTGTTACTGTACCTACATTGCTATTTGGATCCCTATGGGTGGAGAACTCATAGGATTTGGCCTTGGTGCCACTGGCCCTAAGCATGCAAAGAAAGCTACGCTACGGTCGACCGCTGGTGGCGCAAGCAAGTGTCTCGAAGGGTCGGTGGGACTCGGTAAGGAGGTTAATAAGGGGGATAGCTGGGGTTACTATATGAGCTATAGCCTACTTACTGAGCCCCCCTGACCCTCCAAGTATCTTGACTCTTCAAACTGGTGTCGAGACTCTGCCCGGACCAAGTAAACAAACATATCAATGTCGTCATCTCCTCGATGCAGCAAGTATGACATCACATAAGCAGTCATGAGCCCGCAGCTCCAAGCAACAATTACAAGTGGCAAGCAAGTGTTGACTTGGTACCACCTCCTCTCACAACACAAAATACACAATGAACGAGGCCTCTGCACCCGTAACCTCATCGCTTAAACTCGAAATACTCAGCCTTGACCTCATCAACCACATGTAGCATGTATGATAGCCCTAGTCAGAGCTTCTTGGGTGTAGGGCCTAAAGTTGAGGGTAAACAGGTACTGGAACAGAGCTAGGATCATCGAATTGGTCCTTCTCGCCCAGGCTTCTCAGTACCCACATCTTTGAGAAACCCTAAGCTCTTCTAGCATATCCCTGCATACACGATCCTTCCAACCGTCTGAACCTCCAGAACGGGCCCTACCAGCTGAGATCCCCACCGAGTTGTTGGTGAGGTTTATCTCCACGCCTGGAATCTGAACATTCATCACAAATAAAGAAGAAAGCTGAGCTTGCCATAATTTTAGCAAACATGAAATCCGAACATGTGTCACATGTAGACTACAGCATGAGGTCCATGTTAGCTTGAGCGAGGGTAGCTCTATTTAGGGTAGAGACTGAAGGACATCGATGAGGATTTCGATAAAGGGCGAGTTTCGAGCTTGCCTTGTCTGCCTTGATAAACGCCCATGAAACATCGGAGCATGTCATTCCAACTTGCTTGGAAGATGGGCGCCAAGCCGGAATGACCCTAGACACTGAACCTGTCCAACAAATGATGGAGCAACGGTTCACCGTTCAGGGCCGAGGACGTGATGTAGGAAACCCACAACCCGTGTACATCCTTAGCTCAAATCAAAAGGCGAGAACTAGTGTCTACGTGTCCTCCACGACAATAAAGAATTTCTCTTATAAGGACCCCAGAAATAATCATGCAGAATGTTCTTGAACCCTGCCAAACGGCGTGCCAATGTAATGTGCTTGAGGGCCCAGGGTCTATGGTCTAGGCATTTGGGCCCATATTGAAGCCTGTAGTATCTTGCCCAGGTACAAGACGCAGGATCACCCAAAGCTGTTGCTAGGTAGACCATGTAGTGCGTGACCTGAAGCAAGGAGCTCTTGGGTTGTGGGGGAGCCTCGAGGCTGAGCCTTTTTTGTGGTCTCAGGTTTGTTTCAGGGTTTGGGGGGTTCATTGTGTAGGGTATACAAGTTATAGGGTGAAATTACATGCATTTGATCAAGGCTTTGAATTGTGGGTTGGAAAGGCTCTGTGATGAGGAGTACGGGTTTATTCAGCTTTAGGTGACAAAGCCAACAAGAAATGCTTGATCTGCTGAAGACTTCGAATTGAGATGCTGCTTGAAACCCCTATCCTCGACCCTAAATCCTGAACCTTGCATTGAGAAGGCCGCAATGACCTTACTTGCAGCAGATTGCCTTGTTCCACACGTCTACAGGCCAGAATGTAACCTTCCATGTCACCAAGGCGCGAAATTGGGACTGCCTGTTTGAAACGGCCCCGCCCCCACATGCATCCCGAAGTAAACTCCGACATCATGACCCGCTCTGCTTGCGAGGGCGGATGTCCAACATGTGGGGAACGCGTACAGGTCTCAGAGACATTCAAACAGACAGATGGTACGGGCCCTTGCCCAGGAAATCCGATCTCAATCTACATTTATAGTTTCGAGTGCTTGCGAAACCCCATGAGCCCAAAATTCTCAACCCTGAAGTCTAAAACAGTCAACCTGTAAATTGTCAGCTCTCAACCCACAAACCCTGGACATACCTACTTGAAATCGAGCCGTAACACCACAAGACCCTAAACCCCTAAGGAGGAAGCCGAAATCCTCAAACCCGGAACCCCATGTTGGCATATACCTAGGCCAACTCGGTCCCGACTGAAGGAAAAGATTCAGACCTCCTCAGAATTATGCCTACATTTGGGACCGGCCATAGTCCGTTTCCAGAACCCGTGTTTGGATTGAGGCATCCCATTCTATGTGCTGCGCGCTGTCTTCTTGCAACACCTGTCTAGCTCCCCTTCAGTACAGACCTCTGCCAAGGTTAACTTGGAGTCACAACAGTTACAAAAGGAACCTGAATAACCCGAGTCATCTGCTCGACTGCCATATGATACTACATACTAAACACTTAGCGATGAAACCTTGTTCAAAGATTGGCGTCCGCCTGATCTCCTAGACTACTACATCACGCCGGAACTAAAGTCCTAGTATATTCCTGAAGAGCTCCCCCTATAATTAGCCCCATATATCTCCCTGTAGGTCCCCGCAAACCTAGCGCGTTGCAACAGCAAACCTGCCTGGGACACATCCTCAGGCTGCGTCCACTCCAACTCACCACCCAGGTCGCCAAGATCCAGGTCCTCGTCCGGGAAGCTCACGTTTAGCACCTTCATGCTTGTTGCCACAGCCCTAGGGATCCAAATTGCCCAACGTAGGTAAGATTCACAGACTTAAGGGCCCAATGTAGGTATTAGCTATATTATACTGTACTTGGATCCCTAGGGAAGGGTTTTGGCTTTAGGGCTGTTCTTGGCTTGAGTGTCCTGTTGTGGTACTCTCGACAAGCTTTGTTTGCTCTTTGCTGGGTGCTGAGATACGCATACAAGCAGTCTCAAAGTGTCATGCACCAATGTGAAAAGCTGTTGTTGACTACGTTTCACCTGGTAATGGGCTGAGTGTTTCCCTACTGAAGTGGTGAGATGTCAGTTGAGGATTTAGACCAACTTCCGGAAAGCATGGAGCCAAATACATGCGCCTTGTGGGGGTATTGATTCGCATGCCGTAATGCCGTACCTAAAAGATTGATGTGCAATACTGTTACCCTGGAATCTCCTCCAACCATTTCTGTGAGATATTCTTTGCATAACCCCTGTATAACCCCACATCGAATACAGTAGTTTCCATTTCATTGTTCATTTTTTGCTTGATTTTCGATTATTAGGGAAATATCCCGAGTCCCAAAACCCTCAATGGTAGCTATAGTAGCTTCCACCTTCTCTGACTTTTCCATTTCCCTGTAGACCCATATGTACCGCCTATATTGTCTATGCCAGCTTCTTACTCCGGAAGTATGACGGCTGAGGCACTGTGGCTGCAGTGTCGCTGATCAGGAACCACTCAGGTGTACTCCTGGGTGGAACATCTGAGCACGTCCGACTAACATGTTCTAATGTTCTGGTCGTGTTCCAAATTGAAGCAAATCCGAATCATGGGAATCAGAATGCTGGCAGATATAGTGACAAAAACAATGAGATTCGAATGCTAACACAGGATGAGGGTTCGTCTCATCATCGGCCTACCTTTAATTAATGTCGAGTTTTGGCATCGCTTGGAAACCTGAGGAACGTCTTGTGCTGAGGTAATCCTAGTTCCAGCAAATGTTGAGGGGTTGGAAACCAAAGTAGGAAATGCGGGAGGTTCTAGGGGTCCTTCGGCCCCCAAGGATGCCGCGGGATGAGAAGCAGACTTTTGGGAGCTTTCCCCGTCTTAGAGTTTGGGGTTACACATCTATTGACATGTTCGGGAAAGTCCTATCTGCTGAGCACCGCAGGGCCAGGATCCGCAGACACTGTGAGGCCTTCATTATTTGGTGAGATCGTGGATGTAGGGTGATGTCACGTGGAGTGTCTTGGAGAAAGGTAGGGGAGTGTAACATATCGGGGTACATGCCGGTGGAGACCCTTACTTTTGAAATGCCCCTGTATCCAAATCGTCTGACTTGCGGCTTCAGGAGAAATAAGAAAGTGCTGAAATAATTGCGTACTGTGCTTGTCTTGATTTCTCAGGTTGGAGTACTGCGTGAAGTCAAACAACGTCCTAAACATGGAATTTATGCATTGAACATCAACCACAGTACAATCAATACGACCTCGCGAGATCCGGCTACCATGTAGTGTTGCTGGCAAGCAGTACTCGAGGAGCTTATCCAACGACCAGCAAATGCCTGAGGTTCTGGTTCCGACATAGGCCTCTGGCTAGTTGCCGAGAACAAGCAGTGTTCATGCAGGCCCTAGTAACACTGCTTCCAGGGACCACAGCCCCTTGCACATAGAATGCACTGCCTCCGAAGCTCTGCTCAACTAGTGCTGAGCGGGTGTAGACCAAGAGGTGCGAGAACGACCCAAGGGCTGTGTCTGGAGGGACATCCAAGTAGATCGCATCAACTCCTTCAGTTTTTGGGAAACCAGAAGACGATGAATACTTCTAGCCAGGACCTAACTACAAGTAGCCTGGAGTAAAGGAGGACACCAGGTAGCTCCCACCAAGTGGCCTTAGGACATGCAGTTTAGCTTCTTGAAGCAAGGTGCAGTGTTCAAGGCAGACCCCGTAAACTTCTCCTAAAGGCCATGGAACACAATGCGGCTTTATGAACATTGGATTTGGGGCTTCTAGGAGTTGTAGGCAATAGGCTTTGCAATGACCGCGGCATAGCAGAATAAAGAAAACGTTGAAGGACCTGCAGGCTCGAACGGATTTGGCACTAGTGCTGACAGATCCTTCGTGCTTATACAGCAAGAAGTGGGTTGCTGTGTTACAAGCATCTGAAGCACAAATCTTTGTCGTTTCGGGGAACAATCGAATTAGGATCCCGGATGAGAATGGAACCATTCAACATTCTGGGGCTTATCACCTGGGCCTTCGCAGGGCACAGAGGGAGGGTTTCTGGTAGTCCCTATATTATGCCCTATAAGACTATAAGAGTCCCCATGCCATTGCCTCCAATCTAAACTTTGACCCAAAAGCCCCCAATCCCTACCAAGCACTGAAACCCTGACTGGGTTTAGTGCAGAAGGTTGAAGCATCTTAAGGTTTGAAGGCTTACGTCCTTAATTAGCTTTCGGGCATGATGAAGTTGAGCCCATTCACTCCTGCTTCCCTGGAGGCAGTTTTTAGGCATCCTTTTTACAAGGCTGGAAACTGTACACATAATGCCTGCCCTCATGCAGCTTGCTACGAATCCACCCCCTCCAGATGGAAATCAACAACGCAAGCGAGCCCGTGCGCCGATTGCATGAAGCGTAGAGTTTCAGTTAAACACCAAACGAACTTCAAGAACAGCTCTTAAACCGTAAGCGCAACGCTGCCACAACAACCCTTTCCTTTGCAACTTCAGAACTCCGTGCGTATGGCCCTCCAACAGTACCAGTCTTTCATATGGATTCTATGAGTAGTAATTAGAGGGCTATAAATATTCGTTGTTGTCCAACTGTTACTGCGCGGGGCCCTAAACCCTAAAGCCTGAACCCAAAATCCCAAACCCCAAACCCCAATCCATGCATCTCCTCCTGCACCGCCACTGCCATCGGAGCCCATCACGGTCGTCATCTCATAGTTCGTCAGATGTCTGCGCGTGCAGAATATGGGTTTACTTTTTAAGCGTTTAGGGAATACGGTCCAGGGGTTTGGGTCTAGGGTTCAGGGATCAGGGTTATGAGCGTTCAAGGTCTAGGGATTGGGGTTAAGGGTGTGCGAGGGGGGTTCTTCACATGGGGGGGGGGGGGTCCTTTAGCAGTTCGAGAGATACATGGGGATCATGAAGGGATCATAGTCTGATTACGGGTCGACTGGTCCACTAGGTCCACATAAAGGATTTGAGATATTCCTTTTTGCGAGTCCTGAATAGTTCGCAATCACCGGCCTGCTCACTCAGGTGATCGCATCTCTTAGTAAACAGGTTATAATAACCCCTATAACCCGTATGGTAACCCCAGTTATCCCCGTTATTGGCCTTCTTACTAAGTCCTCTAACCCTCCCGTGGTCCCTCCACCTGGTCCAAAATCCAAGAGCCCTTGACGCTGCCTGCTGAGCCCATCAGAGCTCTGGGCAAAGTAGACATTGTATTGGACCACCTGAAGATTGGCTTGTTTTTGAAAAAGAACAGAGCGAGAGTTTTGTTTGTGAATACAAAGCCCTCGTCCCTGTTGGACACAAGACACATTTCGGAAGTTTTCTTTGGGTAGGACAGAATTAAAGCTCCGTTCTCACACATCAGTAAGCCTGGTATTGCTGAAGGTTATTCCAGCACCTGGCCCCCCAACCAAACCCTTCAAGCCCTACAACGGAAGTTCACGAACTGCTCCTCGAGTAGCATGAAGCCCCCCCAACATTATCCTACACCTTCAATCTTAGAGGACAACCTTTCAATATCTCATATCAGCTACCCCTCCAATAGTCGCCAAAAGGTTTAGCGTTCAGGGAGTAGCGCTTAGGGACGAGCGTTTAGGGATCAGGCTTTAGGGTATCGGATTTGGGAATCCGGCTTTAGGGATTAGGGTGCGCTCATCCTTTGGCCCTCAAATCCTCCTGCAGCCTCAGGACATATAACTTAACGTGCAGGCAACATAGCCCCGCCCCTAAGCAGAAGGAGGATCCTTGTGTAGTTCTAGAAAATAAGGAAGCCCATACCCAAAAAACCTAGCCCCAAACTACCATGGAACCCGCTGTAGGCACCTTTCATCAGGACTGCAATCTTCATAGGGTTTGGTCTGGGTTCTATGTTAGTTCCTAACGTTGATCCACGCAACATCCCACCTTAAACCCTAAACCCTGGTCCCTAAGTCCCACTTTCCCTACCCTGAGCCCTAAACCCAAAACAGCCCAAACCCCGATGCCAAGCTGCTTTCTCCGTCTGCAGGGGCGGCTGCCAAGACATCCGACCACCGATCTCCTCCTCATCCAGATCCTTCAAAGGTTTTGGGCTGAGGGTTTAGGGTTTGGGAGCGCCAGGGTTTAGTGCGGCTTTGTACGGGCTAAGGGTCTAAGGTTTAACGGTTGAGGGCTTAGCTGGAGACTCAAAACATACAGCTCAGCAGTTCTGCCCCCCAATTTTCCGGAATTTGCAGCGTGTAAGCACCTAAACGGGAGGCAGATGGGCTTCATGGTACCATTACGTGGATTCACTATACTCCATTTTGGCTTCTATCCCTTTCTCAGAGGAATGTTCTTGTTGAGGCTATATTTGAAGGGTTTTTGTTTGTGAGGGTTGTTACAAAGTGTTTAGCGTAGGGCTGGGCGCCTTGAGAAGAAATTTCTAGGACAAATGTAGAGGTTGATGAGGTATGGCAGTTTCACCGTTCGTGGGGTCAACTTTCCTTCTCTGCTTTTCAACGAACCATCTCCAAACACCCAAATAACCGAGCAATGATCTGGGATCCCGTTTTGGTACAAAACCAGCGCAGGTCCTTGTCCACAAAGAGCGAGCCGGACACGGTGGCAAAAGCATCCGCGATCTCATGTGTTGCTGGAGTGCTCTGCTCCACTAAGGACGAGAGGGTGTAGATGGCCTTTTGGCAATTCGCTTCACTTCTGGCAGAATTCTAATGCCAGGGGGGGCTATGAGGGCTTACGGCACCGAGGGAGCCTGTCCAGACATACCCTGACAATGCAAGCCTCCTGGTCAGAAAGACTCTGGAATCAGACTTCAACGCTGGAAACCGATCTTCAAGAGAATGCCAGCAACAGGAACCCAGCTCGATTGCACATGCAAACTCGGAAGTGGCATCAACATTTTAAGTACCCGTGCCGCCTATTCATCACCACAGTAGCAATGGAGGAAGTAGACTGGGCTGTTTGTGGTATTCCCGGAGCATGTGCTAGCTCCAGGCCTGCCATTATGCGAGTGCTAAGAAGGCAGTTGACACTATAAGCCAAACAGGCTGAGTTAGCAAGTTTGCAACTTGTTAGCAAAACCTCAGGATCATAAAGACGAACTCCTTAGCTAACTCCCAGCCTATTTAATTTGAGGACTCACCCTTGGCCAGCCAGAAGATTACTGGGCAAGCAGCCACGTGGGTCGTCTCCGGCACGATGTTGGCGTAGTTGACCAATGTTGTCTCGGGTGCCACCTCCACGCTCTCGTTGCCCACAGAGACGTTCTTGAAGTAAGCGCCTCGGGGTGGCAGCTGGAATTTGATGTCTGGGAATGATGGTGAATGTCAAGACTGTTTGGGTTCCGGGCTGTGGTAACTTAATTAGGGTTCAGAGGCATGAAGGATCCAGCATCTAACAGCCCTCGAAGGCATTTATCTCCTCATTCAGGAGAACCCTTGTGCTGCCTAAAATCCCCGTGCATGCCAGATTTTCCAGGGGTATACACCCTACATTACCCTACCCCAAGCCCTGAACTATACATGATACTTTTCAACACGATAAACATGCCAGGCAACGGATGTCAGAGCCGTTCGTGACGTTGTAGTCGGCGAAGTAGATGACATAATGAGTCACCTGATAATAACCACCCTAAACCCTAAACAAACTACATCAGGATTAAGGGTTCAAATGTTCAGGATAATGGGTTCACATGTTGAAGACGCAATGACTGACCTGGAAACCGCCCTAAATTGTAAACAACTAATGGTAATCAGTGATCAGGAGTACGGGTTCAGAACTAAAACATTTTTGCGAGGATGAGAAGAAAAATGGATCAGAGGAGGCCCTGATGCTCAGCTCAACCCTTGGGCTGCAAAATTAAGTTTGCAGGTTTCCAGGGTGTCCCTATGATAAGGATTATAGTAGTTTGGGGGTCCATATTGGAGCCCCCGCCCGGTCCCGCATTGCATTGCCATTTTCATTAACACCGCAATAAAGGAACACGGTAGTTCACATTGACTACAAAACACCTGTTTTGAAGGATTTTAGGGCTTAGGAAGTGCCTCTCACAAACTACCTGAAGACTTCCCCCCCCTTCTCCCGCCCAAGGGTCGGCAGGCCTGTGCTGTATTGCTGGGCTCGTCCCAAACCTCAGCGCTGCAGTTCTTTCAGCTGCAAAAGCCAAATAACAGAGAAGGTTCGGTAATAGACAAGCCTGAAGCATAGACCATAGGATCCCCCAACCTTCCATTCTAGAACCATAATGGAAAGCTGGCCCCTACAATACTGCGGCTGACAGGGGGACGAAAAAGTGAAAAGCCTGCTAGACTTGCTTATCTCACCTCGTGTCTGCTCAGTTATTGCACAACAGAACCATCATTCGCCAGGCTGCAAGCTTCTGTATATGTTAGTTTTCAAAAAAAGGGGTACTGCAACATAGACTCCAAAATACTATAGTCCAAAATGTTGGGCCCGCCCAAAAATGGTACCCCTAATCCTGGGAAACCCCCCATATGCAGCAAGCTGCATGCCTGTGCAACCAGGGCGGAAATGCAGCCAGCCGGCAATTCGACAAGTTCTGACTCAAACTTGTCATGTCACTGCTTTTTGGATCATGGTTTGGGAAATGAAAGTCACCCCTTGAACATGCATTATGGCCAATTAGGGCCTCAGTTTAAGCGTGCTCTTCCCTTTCGAGGTCCCGTGACAAAAACTGCCTAAGTACCAACTCCCTTCATAATAACTGCTAGGAGAGGTTCTCTGGCACTTGCGAAATATTTGCTCTCACAGCTATGCTAGCAAGAAGGGCAACCATAGCTGCCATACTTGCCCGCACTGAAATCAAACAAAAAGCCCTCCCGAACACGAAGCTGCATTCGGCTCCAGTGCCCTGAAGATTCTGTAAAGCCTTTCTGCAGTTGTGTGACAAGCGTGCCGCCCACTTCCTTCTCATCTAAGTCATAGTCTGGCAGAGACCTTGCTTTGGCATCCGTATGTCTCTTTTGGGCTCTATGTCTGCTGGGTCTATTGATCTAGGTGCTGTCCGAGCTAAAAGCAGGACCCGATTGGTATATAGCATTCTTCATGGCAACGATGCAGGTTTGGGGGAGTTTCGCGCATGACAAACTTGAAGCCTGAGGCTTAAGGGTTCTATGGACAGAGCCCCGGGCTCGCTGATTGAACAGCAAAGACGTGTTGGAGGGTGCCCTCCACCATGCTAACATGGGATTCCCTGAAGGGGCCATTAATTACTGCTGTCCCCGTATGCTAACATGAACCCCCAAAGGCGCCATGCAAAGACTGGTGCTCTTTTGAAAGTGTCCGATATGAATTTGGTGTTTGCTGGAAGGTAGGCGTTGTATTGCCACGGGTCTGCCTCACATTAGCTTGCATGCGTGGAATTGTACGTACAGAGCACAGGCAATTACAGCAGCCAAATAGCCAAATACAGAATCGTGCACCCACACTTAGTTGTCTTTAGGGAGCACAAACCAGAACCACATGAGGTGCATGCTTGTTGTGACCCCTTAGCCCCAAGCCCTAAACCCCAACTTCCTGACCTTGCCCTCCCAAACCCTCAGCTTCCTAAGCCACTGAGACCTGATCAACACCCAACCCGCAATGTCCTCAAATCCTACACCTTCAGGGTTTAGGGTCCTCCGCCCCTCCAGCTCCAAAGCCCTTTCTTCAACACCGCGACTTCAAGACCCACCAAGCCCCTTCAGCGCCTCAATGCTTGAAACTAAACCAACCCCTGTGAAGTAGACTCTATAAGAAGCATATGATCATTATGGGGCTTCCTAGAAACCCATTAACACCAAGCAAGGCTACACGTTGGCCACCGTCGCTTGCACGTCAGAGAGGAGTAAGGCCACGGGCGTTGTCTGTTCAGCAAGCTCGGAAGTGGCAAAGACCACAAGATGGGTGAAGTGCCTGGCTTAGGGTTTTAGGGATTGGGGGTCTGTAGGGTCGAGGGTCTAGGGATTTTGGGGTGTACGTCGAGGGTGTAAGGGTTCTGAATTTGTTGGTTCAGGGAACCTGCCTCATGCCAGAACGGGATGAAAGAGCCTGCTGAGGGAGAATTATGCAAAGGCGATTTCCCTGTCGCCCGCTTGGGCTTAGACAAGCGTGTCAAGCTTCATCAGTCATTCGGACTTTGGAATCGGAATCACTCAGGGTTTAGACGTGAGGGCAAGGTAGAGGACCTTCAGAGAAAGCCACTCCGACACAGAACGCGAATCAGCGACACATCATCTACTCGTCGGACCCACACGGATGTAATGCTGCAGTTGCCATATGAAGTCAGCTCAGGCCGCAGATGCACTGACGGCAACGACAATAATTGAACGTGGTCTGCGACCTAGCTGCTATGGCGGAAAAAGAAGTTATCCTGGCCCACGCGCTACCTGAAAGCCCCGATGCCTTCAACTCTGTCACAGGCTAGCTCCTCACCGTTCTAAGACAACCAAGGCCTGCACACACCGGCCCCTTTTTAAACTCAAAAGTCAGCTGGTAATGAGCTAGACTAGAAAGCCACGAGGCCTTCGAACCTTGGCGGAACCCAAGTGGCCCCTCGTTTCAACTCCTACAAAGGCCCCAAGAATAATCAAACCCTAAAGATTCTAAACTCCCGGCCGTAAACCCTAAACTGGAGGATACGGGGTCCATCTGACTGTACCACTTCCAGCGGCCTCAGAGCAGTCTCCGGAGGAAGTAGGACCTGAGCCGTCGAGCAGAAAGTCAAGTGAAAAACTGGTGCTGAAGGGGACTGGGGCAGTTTATTTAAGTGTTCTACAAAGGGAGTATCTAGCTTACAGCTACATTAACTTCTAAAATCATACCAAAATTGCGCCCCCACTACCCCTCAAGCATCAATACGAAGACAAGCCATCGCAACTACGACTTTCTGATTATGGGCGGTCCGTATGCTGAATCCTCGCGCCCCTAAGACCCTAAACCTAAGTCACCGTAGATCTGGAATCTCAACCTGCTAAGTTTCGTCCCAGGACAGGGAAGTTTTGCAACAATTAGAGGTCTCTTTTTCCGGGGTGCCGGAAAAAAGGATTAGGTACAATATGTTAGGGGTAACAAGGGAAACCTCCTTTTGTGGGAAATACCCATGCTAAAGGCAAGCCCTCAACCCTAAACTGGGTTGCTGTTAAGGAACTTAAATTAAGTTACCATAATGGGTATATATATATATTGTGAATAATAGGGTTTCCCCAATATAGTAACTTAATTCAAGTTCCTTAACAGCAACCCAGTAAAGTGAAGGCCACAAGAAAGGGCCAACTCCTTAAAGATGGTCCCAGTGACGCTGAGCTGGGTAGACGTCAGTTGCAGCTCCCTGCAAAAGACACGGCACAACCACAAATGGATCCTTGGGATCTTGGGGATTTCTTTGGGGGAGCTGGCTATCCTATGGATATGTACTAGTATGTGTATGCATATATTCCAAAAAATCTGACCCACATCTCCCTGTTTTCCATCCAGCAATACAACCTCATGAGTTAACGTGGTGATGAGCAGAGTCGGAACTACGGCTGCGGCCGTCATTATGGAAATCTTGGCAAGCCTCCCTGCCATTGAGAGGAGACCTTGATAAACAAACATCTCCCGGAAGCCCACAAGTCGCATGAAGTGCTAATCGGGAGCCCTCAACACATGAACGACGCACAATCCAAAGATTGGACAATATGCAATCATTCCAAACAGCTCCCACACATCTGTGCACAAGAAATTCCACGTTGGAACAGAACAGCAGATGCCTGCCCGCACCCTCGTAGCTTGTGGCCAAATAGATATTGTACCTTGCTCAGGGCACAGTTTGAGTACAGCTTTCTTTGCATAGACTTGCGCTAGTCTTGGAGCTTGGGGAAATCAATTGGAATTACTAGTACTTGGAGCCTTTTCTGAGATGGGGCAAGTATTGAACATGGTCTGTGCCTTCGGAAGGATCTAAACCGAAACATCCTAGAACTGCCTTAAGCCGTAACCCCTTTGATCTAGACAGCCATTCTACATCCCATCTCACGGGTAGCGAGGTTTAGGCTTGACCGTCATGGATGCTCAAGGTAGATTCTGGCCTTCAATGTAGACATGCTCCCTAAGCCATCTCATTTGAATGTCTTACTTTGGGTCTGGGATTTCAGGTTTAGGGTCAGGGGGACGTAGTAGGTAGGTCGACAAGGGGGATAACTAGGATTACATGGGTTACAGGGTTTATTAAGCAAGTTACAAAGTTCCCCTGACTTTTCAAGTACTTCAAGGTCGGTATCCCTAACAAATAATGGCTTTGGCAAGCCGAACGATCCCCAAGCAAGCGTTTGAATATGTAATCGGACAAAATCATCTGGGAGTCTCCTAAAGTCAGGAGTAGCATTTTGGGGGTCCCCATAGTGAGGATGTTTCTTAATCATTGGGGTCCATATTTGGCCCCCTGTTTATGGACACCACCATCTACAAGTTCATCAAGGTCGCAAAATGCTAGCTATGCATGGAGTGCGCAGTACTACACATAACAGACATCCTGTAAGAAGGCTAGAGACCACCTCACTTGATGAATCTGAACCCTTTCTAGATCTTCCAGTTTCAAAATGTCTCGATCCAGTGATAACCCTTCTAAGACCCATATTATAGTAGTTTGCATGTTCTTTTCCATTATCCCTATTTAACCCCACTTGATAAAACACAACAATGGTCATAACATGGAAGTAAAGGGTCCGGGTGGTATCGAATCCATGGTGCGAGGTGATGGCGTGCGCGTCGAAGATGGGCGACCAGCCTATGGAAGGAGACGGGTTGCGTTTGGGGCCTCAATAAACCCAAAGCCCGAGGCCCTTAAACTCAAGGTTCGGGAAAGCAGTGGACAGACAAGAGACTGTATAAGAAACTCTTGAGAATGCAAAGTGCTGTTGTGAGCTTACTGGCTTCTGTGAACAGAGCTTTGGCGTGCCGTTGCTTGGTGTGCCATTGCTGCAAGCAGACTGTGATGCAACTTTTGGAATCACCAGGTCGGTGCTTTGTTCATGGACATTCGTTGGAAGTTGGGTTCACAAGTCCAGGCAAGCAAAAGCTCGGATCATGAACAAGAAGTCTGCCCAGGGGCTGATGGTCCCACCAATCTCTCCAGCGTCGAGGTCCAAGTCCACGAAGCTAAGACTGGCGGCCTAAGTTGGGAGCCCCTCGCTGAACTCTAAGGGATTTGGAACCNNTTAGGATTCTAGGTAACAGAAATAACAAAATATTTTCAGGAACCTTGTAGTGAAGGGCAGAGTCATTACGCCTTAGACTCCATGTGTCTTGTTTCAGGAGAGAACATGCCATGTTTGAGCTGAACGCACGGGCAGCTGTATGAGGTTCTTACAGAAGGGTGACTGTGAAATCAACTATGGCTCATATTCGGATCTTGTATGGTACATTAGGATTGTGACCCAAATTCTGTGTAACGATCTTAGCTTTCCCGGGTCCTGCAGGACGTTGTCTATCAACTCTATGACCACCAACACCGCACGGAACGGTAGACCCTGAACCCCAAACACATCTATATTGGTCTATAGTGCCCCCTAAGAATCCTACTCATGTCAATAGCGCACAGGTGCCCTGGAGCGCAGGTCGTCGATGCGAAGGAAGGCCGGCGTGGATTGCTCAGCCAGAGCCGAGGAAGCATACAGCAAGAAGTGGGTGAAGCCGCCTTTTTGGGGGGTGGGTATCACAGGAGTCTACAAGGAGAAGTGTCTACCTTGGACTGGGCCAGAACTAGAACAGTGTGGTCACTGCATGACAAATTTCTGGTCATCCTTCTATGCATTACGATTCCGAAATCTTAAACCGGCCCCTCCGGGAACAGATCCCCCCAAGCGCAATTGAAATCGACTCCAGGGTCTCTAGTAGGTGCAGGAAACTATGTCGAGAAAATCCCGTCCTGTGTCTGTCTCAGCAGGGATGGTGATCTGCGTGTCGCCGGCAGGGGCATCGTTCAAGAACGTTCGCCGGCAGAAAGTCAGCTTGTACCTGGGTATAGCCCCCCATAACTAGATTGAATATGGAAATCCCCAACACCATAATGAGATCGCCATATGATTATCCCATATTATATCGATATGAGGGAACAACAAGCCACAAAAAATCAAGAAATCCACCTGGGCTCCCTAACCTTTGGCTCTCATCATGCTTGTTGCGTACTAGATAGGATGTCTGTTTTCTTGGGGTTTTTGTTTTTGCATGCTTCCCGGTCTTGTCAAGAGCTGCTTGATGTTAGGCTTTTGGATGTTCGCCGCTCGTCTCGGCTTTCTCCGCCGTGTAACTAGCCATGTAGCCATCCCCATTATACTCCTTGTTCGCCCAGCAGGACACTTTCGGACCTGCTGAGACTTACCGCCCTGCGCGTGCAATCTGGCAGCTGCACCGAAGCCAATCGTCGCAGCAACGGCACGTCGCCTGCAGTGGTGAATCTCATGTCATCTTCTCTCCCATCCTCTTATGTCATGATGATGTTGATGACCGTGGTGATGCTGCTGCTGCTGATGACAGTGATGATGAGGATGCTGATAGTTGCTGGAGGATGCTTCGGGGGCTCCCTAGAATCTGCGAAGATCCCCTTGGCAACCTTCGACAACTGGACCCCAGCCCAGTTTGTCTAGACCCTCAATGTCAGATCTGATCTCAGAGCAACAAACCCTGAACCTACCAAAGCGAATCCCTCTTGCCTCGTCCCGACAGCCGACGTGCCCTTAGATGCCAAACCATGACTGGAATGTGAGCCTTGAGGGTTTGGGTATTAGGTTTTGCTGTCTAGGCTTGGGGGTGGAGGGAGTGAGCACTGCGGAGCAAATTATGAGCATACGTATTGCATGAGCTCTCAAACATCATTTGGGTTCTTTTTGATACAGCTGGCTTTGTGAGTCATGCGTGCACACGCCGCCACTACCCAAACCCTTCAGCAGTCACTTCCACCTCTTCGCAGAGTCATTAGCGCTTATCATTGCCTACCATGAAGGCAGCGAATGATCCCTGACAGCTTCTTCACGTATATCATTCAATCCCAGACAACGGTTCCCGGCCCTAATACGGATGGTGACTCCGTTCCTTGAACTTTACAACCCGAGATTGCAGAACCCCAAATCGAGCTGCAAACTTTGAACCTTAAACTGCTTAAAGCCCTGCAGTTGATTTCTCTGTCAGCCCCAGTCTAAAACCTGGAGAGCCCAATCCCTAGAAGGGCTTTCACAAAAGATCTCACGGGACGATAAGTCTATACGTATCGGCCTATGAAGGATTTTCGGGATCCTCCTAGAGGATTCTATTGGGACTATTTTGTGGAACTCCCTCAGACTCTCTCATCTGGAGATCTGAGACAAAGGTTGTCGGGTTTTTTCCAGGGATCATGCTGGACACATTTGAGGAACTGATCTTGAGACCGGCCAAAACCTATAAAAGCCCCAGAACTCTCAAGCCCCACGCTTCTTGCTGACGACCACTATGCCAAGGCTCATTTGTGTGGTGCTGCCTGGGCTCGTCCACTGACGCAAGGCAAATTTGCAGTTTGAGTACGTCCACTAGAGCTTAGACAGGAAGACTCTAGACTCCCTAGAACACACTAAACCATGCAGACCGCGGGATGCGCTTCCGAAATTCTGGGCCACTGATTGGGCATCTTCTTTGCTCAGAGCTCCCTTTTGCAAGTTTTTGAGGGTGCGTTGAGACTACGGAACAAGAATGCGGAGCAGTGAGGTCTCGCGGTCCGAGGGCCGCAACGCTTAGGCACAGCGCGGGACAATGAGAGAAAAAGAAACCTTCTGAGAAGGGTAAAGCCGAGCTTCACACACGTGGCCATTGGGGGGAATGGTGGATATCGAGCAATGCACACACTTTTTTTGCAATGGCCAAGCTGCTTGAGGTCGTGGTGGTCGATGACGAAGATGAGGTGGTGCTCGATGAAGAGCTTGATGAGCTTGTTGTCGTGGTTGTGGACATGGACATCGTCGTTGAGCTGGTGCTGCCTCCGAGCTGGAGCGCACTTCCAACAAGCAAAGATGATGGGACGCTCTGATCAACTGATGAACAGGCTTTACATTTGGCAGGCTTGCCGTTTTTGTCTGATCAAGAGATGAACAGGCAGTAGATTTGGGAGGCTCACCGCTTTTTCTGATCAAATCATGAAAACAGGCAGTAGATTTCTTAAAATCTACCTTCGGGTCTTACCATGAACAATCACTAGGTCAGACCACTGTTGAAGATCAGGCTGCGTGTAGTTGTCGTAGTCGATGACAAAGATGATGTTGTGCTGGCCGAGGAGCTAGTCGTCATCGTGGTAGATGTGGACATGGTCTTTGAAGTAGTGCTGCCTGGTCTCTCGAGGAGCAAACACGGAAAGAGACGAGATTTAAAGTGTTTGAGACGGACGCATCGTTCCTATCTTAACAGCTCTAGTGCCACTACGGCTACGGCCTCTCCTGCTATACTGCCGCAGTTGCAAATGCCACACGACTTTGAAACAGCTTCTTGTGATTCCCCAGCCGCTGGAAGTTGTGGTGGTTGACGACGAAGTAGAGCTTGTTGCAGTCTGGCTGGTGCTTGAGCCTTTGATTATCAGTGTCAGATGTTCCTCCCTCCAAACGGACGCGGCAACAAGATATGCATGCTAGGCTGTTGTACCAAGCTTCTACAGGCAAACTTGGAGTCTTTCTCACCTGGGCACTTTGGAACCTAGGCCCTGGTTGCATCCAGTCCTACACGCCTGAGCCACAATAATGCCTAATCAAGCTCAGGAAAACTCAAAACCTCAGAACCCTATAGGATCTCAAGCAGTCCATGCCTAAACCTTGCGGTGCTGAACAGCAGAGGAACTTGAGCCGGTGGTTGTGCTCGTGAAGCTTTCCGTGGTGCCTGGGCTTGAAGGTAGACTAGACTTGGGCATCAATGGGATAGCGACGTGGGATTTAAGGCTTGAGATCCAGACCGGCAGTACCAGACAAGCTAAAAGAATCGTGACACAGAACAGATTAGAACAAATGTTGCGGAGCACGAATAAGGCAAAAACGATTGCACCAGTCAGTATGAAGCTGAGGGCACGATGGGGACTATGTGGAGTACGTGTCATTTAGTTAAGATTCATGGCCTGATCTAGAATCTAGACGCTCAGGATCTAAACAAGACAAGTGGTACTCTTCTGGAGCCGAGCAGCTGCTACTCAGAGTTGTGGTGGTGGATGAGCTGGAACTAGTATCTGAGCTTGATGTGGAGGTCTTAGTTGAGGAGGTTGAAGTTGATGTTGTGGTGCTCGAGGAGGTAGTAGTTGTGCTGGTAGAGGTGCTTCTGGTGAAGGTACTGGACGTGGAGGACGTTTCCGAAGTCGAGGTGCTAGTGGAAGAGCTGGTGGTGCTGCTCGAGCTGGTTGCGCTGGTGCTCGAAGAAGTTGTGGTAGAGGAGCCTAGGACTTCTTCTCAGACCGGCAGAGTCTAATGGCGCCATCTGAACATCGCCTCGTCTACTAGTGAGGGATGCTTAAGATCTCTCCTTATCATCTCCCTGGAACATACCAGGACACGAGGAGGGTTTCAGCTTCAGCATCACTACTCAACTGCCCTCGTTCTATGGAGTGCCCCTGAACCCGGTTGACAGCAAAAGAACATAGATACATAGATTGGGTTTTTCCGTCTTCAGTCAATGGAGTTGACTGGAATTGATGGGCACATCCTAGTGGTCTCCCAAATCTGTACGCAACACGAGGGGTTTCTTACAACAGAAGAACACAAGTGAGCCAGCATCAGATCCTAACAGTGGACTCCCGAAGCCAAAGTGACCCACTTCGGATAAACCAATACGGTCCGTAAGCAGATGAATACCTGCCTTACGCTTAGCACCATAAGGATGCATTCCCTCATTCCTAGAAAGCACCAGATACTTGACAAGTATACTGATGGAGCAAGACACTCCATGTGACTCAAATTTCATCAGTAAGCACCGCAAGCGATGATTCAATAGCAATGATTCGGTCTTGATGCCAGCAACCAGGTGGTTCAGGGGTGTTGGGAGATTCTGACTTAATTAATGGAGAATCAAATGGAGAAAGGACGTGGAAAATGAAATCGAACCTGGGGTTCTACAGGAGTCCAAAGAGGTTGCAGGTAGTCCTGCCGACAATTCATCAGCTCGGAAACACTATGAACACTGCATTCGCAACACAGTACTTTTACATGTTGTACGGCACAGGCACTTCCCAAATGGTCATTAAGAGTTTATGGACTTGTGCAAAAACACGCCTGCGCGAGATAGCATGACCAACATCCAAACAGTGCCTGATCTTATGTAACCTTGGAGTCTCAACATTGAACATCAACGTCAAAGCCTGAAACATCTGACAAGGCAGAGTAAATTCTAAGGCTGCTAAGGGCTGCTGGCAGTATATTCATTTCAGCCCTGTGGAAATACTTGTTGGTGACATTGCTTTGATGACCAGATGGGGCTGTGCCGAAATCCTATACCCGCAGCCGAAGCCCGGCAGCTTGTTGTGGTGGAGCTTGTGCTTGAAGAAAGTGTGCTTGACGAGCTGGTGCTTGTCATAGTTGCAGATGACGTTGTGCCTGTGGTTGACATCAAAAACTACGTGGACCCCAAAAGTAGGAAACATAGTCGCCTAAAATCTCTTGAAAAGCCAAAAGGCCACTATTCTACATACTCTTAGAGTTCAGGTAACTGCTCAGGCTCTGAGATATTATTGCGCTTGGCTATGGTGTTAGGGCAAGGGTTCCCAGCAGCAAAGTAGAGTTGAAATGACTTCCGGATCCTAGACCTTAAGCGCTAAACCCCAGGATCCAGGTTCTGGCATAGCTGCGGGAGAAGTTAGATTGAAAACGGCTGGGTGCATACAGAATGGGGACCATCCTCGCGGGTCCTTGCTCAGAAGCGTAAAAACCCATGACCAGGGCGCAGCAAGGTCCATGGCTCTCATTGCGAATATATACCCCATGGACTGACCAGTTTTTGTGTCATGCAACACTTGAGTTGGGTGC